AAAATAATAAAAAATATACATACGTCCATATACAAAATTACATAAATAATTATATAAATATACATGTAGACTTCAAATATATAAATATGCATATATATTTAAATTCTACGTGCGTATTTATGCAATATTTTTACATAATTCAGTAATTTTATTGATTGCAATTTGAGGGACCTGCCTGCCAACCCAGGCCGAAATTCCAGAGAATTTAATTTGCTATCACTGTATTTTACCCTGTAACGTTCTACGACACCCTAAAACCTGTACATGGGGGGTACTGTTTTACTCGGGAGACTTCGCTGAACACAAATATTAGTGATTCAAAACAGTAAGACATATCACAGCGATGATATTGTCAGTGAAAGTTACTTTTTTTGCATTCTTCACACACAAACAGCACTTTTACTGATGATATAATTGTTGTGATACGTTTTCCAGTTTTTAAACACTAATATTTGTGTTCAGCGATGTCTCTCGAGTAAAACAGTACCCCCCATGTACAGGTTTTATAGCATTTATGAAAGTTACAAGGTCAAATATATGGGTCAAATATTTTTACATTGAAAATGGCCAGGTTGGTTACGTTGCCTTTGAGAGCGTATGGTAGCCCAGGAATGAGAATTACCCCCATGTTGGCATACCATTTGCAAAAGAAGACAACCCAAGGTATTGCAAATGGGGTATGTCCAGTCTTTTTAGTAACCACTTGGTCACAAACACTGGCCAAAATTAGCGTTCAATTTAGTTTTTTTACTTTTTTCACACACAAACAAATATGAATGCTTACTTTGGCCAGTGTTTTCGACTAAGTGGCTACTAAAAAAGACTGGACATACCCCATATTGAATACCCTGGGTTGTCTACTTTAAAAAAAATATGTACATGTAGGGTGTTATTCAGAGATTTATGACAGATAATAGTGTTACAATGTCACTATTGATAAATTTTAAAAATGTATGTTTTGAAACCGCAATATCCTACTTGTACCTATAGCCCTATAACATGCAAAAAAAAGCAAAAAAGCACGTAAACACTAGGTATTTTTAAACTCAGGACAAAATTTTGAATCTATTTAGCAGTTTTTTTCATTCGCTTTTGTAGATGAGTAAAAGATTTTTCAAGTAAAAGTCAAAAAACATGTATTTTTTTAATTTTTCATCAGATTTTTGTATTTTTTTTAAATTAAAATACATGAGATTATATAAATAATGGTATGTAAAGAAAGCCCCTTTTGTCCTGAAAAAAACAATATATAATTTGTATGGGAACAGTAAATGAGAAAGCGGAAAATTACAGCCAAACACAAACACCACAAAAGTGTAAAAATATGCCTGGTCGCAAATGTACAACATCGCAAAAACAGTCCAGTCCTTAAGGGGTTAAAGAGGAAGCACCTCTAGTGGCTGTAAGGGAGACAGCCACTAGAAGTGTATTTAACCCTTCAATAGAAATATTGCAGCTTCTGCAAAACAGCCATGCTTACCATTACAAGGTTAAAAATACAGTGCCACTACACTCCGACCACTTCATTGAGATAAAGTGGACAGGGTGCCATTAATGGTCCTTTAGTATAATAACTTCTAGACCATAATTTGTCCCAGGTTATTTTCTAGCATGGTGCCAACATATTGACATAAAGCAGAGCGAAATCTTAGAGGGGGACTATTTCAGTCCAAGATTTTTTATTCAATAGATGCACTTTAAATGTTGTTCATTTTCAACAACAATATTATTAGCAGTAATCAACATGATTTTATGAATGGCATGGCATGCCAAACAAACTTCATTGTGTTCTATGAAGATCTTAGTAGAACTATATGTCTGGGCAAAGGGTTCTTTACATTAAAAAAGATGTGGAGTTCTCTATCTAAGTAGGTTGTCTTATCAGATTCCTTTTTGTGTGTTTTGTTTTGAAAAACGGGTAAGTACATAAGAACGTTAGGACGGTTCAGGACCATCAAGGATATAATTAAAATATATGGGAACTGGTTGATAATCCAAGGAGAAATCCTTGTTTTTTTGCCTTCTTATAGATCAACAGCATCAAGATGTGTTTTAAAGGTTGATATCGATGGACTTGAGTCTTTTTACAACGTAGATTACTATGCAACTATATTAACTGCTAAACCTTAAATATACATTTAAAAAATGGAGCATGAAAAACGATTAGCACAAGTTATAAGTGATTTTCAACGTTTTATTGAATGGTGGGATTTGTAGAGAATTATGGTTACCCTATAAAGCAGAAACTACAGGCCTAATAATTGCATCTGTGATCAGGAAATTAGGCTGTCATGAGATATGATTTAAAAAAAGAATTTTAAATCAATACATTCTACTTTCATTCGTAGAAGTTTATATGCTGTTCAAAGTCATATCATGTCAAACTAGCTTAATAGAATTAATTTTAAGAAAAAATATTATGTAATTAGTATTACTTTTGGTAAGCTAAAATAATTTGAAAATTACTTGGCAATAAACCACAATAGAAGTCAATGACATTAAGGGGTGTTGGATTTTTATTTTTAAGAAAATATAATTTTGAAGCTTTGTAACCAATGGTAAAGAATCACTTTAAAATGGAACTTTCTTGGATTGACTTGCATAATTAACTTTTCTCATTAAACATTCCACTTTTTTCTTTGGGGTTGGGGGAGTATATTTATATGTCCCGCAAGATTCGTGTATGCAAGGGAGTTGTAGTCCAAAAGCAGCTGGAAGACCTGAGTTTAACACCTTTGCACTAAACTACCTTACCCCTATTGTACCCCAAATTAAACAGGTAAATTAATGGTCAAGGCTAATCGTGCAAATGGAGCCAAGATGGCTGCTTCCCAAAGGTAAGCATTTTGAATAACGACTGGTCCTCTTCAAGCATGTAACATGTTGACAAAAATAGGCAATCAAGTAAACAAACCGAAAAAGGCAAATACTAGACTTAGATATTGTGACAAACTCCCCTTTTCAAGTGACTTTGCATGAGTTCTTGGGGGGCAACAGAACTGGTCAATATACTTTAAACAGGCTCTGTTTGGGACTATATGGTTAGTTTACCAAACAACCGCACTAACAGAGACCACCCTGGAGCTTGTTAACACATATTAACAACTTGGAACGTTTCTCACCGCAGTGTTTTAATTGTTTGTCTGGGTGGCTGTGATTCCTATGAACAACCACGAGGTGACGTCCATTTTGTTTGCATGAATGCAAACAGCGGTGTTTGGGCATGAATCATAAGGAACTGAAATCGGATAGAGAAGCTCCCGAACACTGCTGGACTTCCATCATCGCCTGCATTCATATCTATTTAGCTTATAAGGGCATTGTTCGGAGAGATCATTCGTCTGGATGAAGGGAACAAGCTCCAGGGTAAGACTATTGACTCAGTTCGGTAGTTTGTTTTTTCGTTTGCAAACTACCAAACTAGACTGGCCGCAAGCCCTGATTCTATGGAACTGTTTGGGCATGAAATCATGAGTGCGGTCGGTCAAAATAGACATCCAGGAATTTCCTGAACCCCTGTTCTGATCT